CTCGCCTGATGGCCGCGCGCATTCGTCTTAAATCCCATCACCCCCCAGGGCGCGAGTGGTTGAAATAATTTCCGCCTCCAACCCCCTGTCTTTGCTTCGGGGAAGAGTTTATCATTGTTCCCTGCTATTTAATACACCCCCCCACCCGACGGGCAGCTAACCCGAACCCATGACGATCCCCCCACCACCATCCCTATCAACAAACTATACAAAGCACGCAGTGCTTCCCAAACTGGATCATGCGCGGGCGCCCCGCGACCTCTTCGCATTTGTTCTTGACAAGAACGGCAGGGAGACTCTATTAATTTTGCTTTCTGCGCGCAAGCCTCATATCCTTGTCAAGCAACAGTACAGCATACACCTTGCCTCCGAATATGGTGCATGCGTGGTCGCCTGACCACTGTGCATGGTTTTTGACAAGGACGGCGGAATTGCTGTCATATTGCCTGCTGCGCGCAGGCATATCATCCCTGCCGCAAGTAATACACATACTTGTTGCCTCCACATCTGGAGCATGCGCGGGCCCCCCGCGAACACTTTGCAATGGTTCTTGACAGAGGACGGCGGGGATGCTCTCGTGTTGCTTGCTGCGCGCAGGCCGACCGTCCCGGACAACGTGCGCTGCAACATGCACTCCTGCCTCCCGCTCTGGAGCATGCGCGGGCGCCCCACGGCCACTTCGCATGGTTTCTGATCGGGATACTCAGGTGCCACTTCTGTGCTGGGAGGGCGGGTGGGATTGAGCGGAACGGCTTGGGCCTTGAGCGGAATGGCTTGTGCTTTCTGGGCAGGAGGTGCCTCGACCACTGCTCCCTGGCAGTCCGCCACCGTGCCGCTGGGCACGGAGTGGGCGTACCCTCCCCTGAGCCCCAATCCTCGATCCTGAAGGGTCAATCCCCTGAGCCTCGATCCTCGATCCTCGATCCCCTGCGCCTCAGTCCTCGATCCCGAGGGTTCTGTGGGGGCCCGGGCCCCGAACTCGCAAGCCTCCCTGGGCTCGGCGCGTGCCCCTCTGGGCTCTCCCGCGCCTCCCCGCCGGACTTTTCCGCGCCCGCGAAGACTCCCGCACGGGCCGAGAGGGCCGCAGGAGGCCTCCGAGATGGTCCGAGGGGGCTTCGGGGCGCCGAAAGATCGCTCCAAGACGCCCCAGATGGCCTCCGACGGCCCAAGAGGCCCCCAAGACGCCCCAAGGGGCTCCAAGAGGCAACCGTTCTGGATATCCCTTCTGGTTATTGTTCTGAAGGGATTTTGGCGTTCTCGCCTTTTCGGCTTCCCGACGCTCCAGGACGGGCCAAGAGGCCCCACATATCGTCCCAAGACGGCCCTAAAGGCCCCCAAGAGGGCCCTAAGACGGCCCAAGAGGGCCCAAGAGGCGCCCAAAACGGCCCAAGAGGGCCCGAAGACGGCTCCAAGAGGGAGGCTCAGATGGGAAACCAGAGCGGACATTTCGAGCCCTCGGCCCCGTGGGCGGAGGCCCCAGGAGGCCCCAAGAGGCCCCCAAGAGGCCTCCAAGAGGCCCTCAGAGGCGCCCAAGAAGCCCCAAGAGGCCCCCGAAAGGCTCCCAAGATGCCCCCCCAAAGGCCCCCGAGAGCGCTCCGAAGAGACCCCACCCAAGCATCCCTGAGAACTCCGACTCACAACCCAGGCATGCTGGCGGGATGGGCCGAAAACCATTCGATAACCCCCCCCCATCCGACCGGCACCCAACCTGGACCCATGAGGGCACCCATGACACCCCCCCACCACCATCCATTTCAAAGAGAGGTGCAATTTTGCCTCCAAATCTGGAGCTTGCGCGGGCGCGCCGCGACCACTTCGCATTTGTTTTTTTGATATGGACGGTGGGGGTACCAGCACATTGCTCGCTGCGCTCAGGCCAACCTTTCCCACCATCCCTGGCAACAAAACAATAAAACATGCACGTCGCACCAACATCTGGATCATGCGCGGACTCCTCGCGATCATTTTGCATGGTGTTTGACAGGGACGGCGGGGGTGGGGGACAGCACATCGCCTGCTGTATGCAGTGCCAACGCACTCCAACAAACCATAGCTTGCATCAAAATCTGGACCATGCGCGGACACCTCGCGCTCATATTGCGTTCGTTTTTGACAAGGATGGCGGAGGTGCCCGCGTATTGCCTGCTGCGTGCAGGCCCACCATCCCTTTCAAATAAAAGATACTGGAGAAACAACTCAGTCATAATCTTTTCAGGGCTATAAGGCTATGGGGCTATAGGGCTATAAGGCTCTGGAGCTGTAGGGCTATAGGGCCATAGAGTTATAGGGCTAATAGGGCTATGGGGCTATTCGGGCATTCGGGCTATAGGGCTATAGGGCTATAAGGCTATAAGGCTATAGGGCTACAGGGCTATAGGGTTACCAGGCACCCGGGCACCCAAGCACCCGGGCACCCGGGGCACCCGGGGCAGCCGGGCACCTGGGCACCCGGGCACCCGGGGCACCCGGGCGCCCAGACACCTGGGCACTGGGCACGCGGGCACCCGGGCACCCAGGAACCCGGGCCTGCCGCCGAAATCGGCGCCACAGCTAACCTAACCATATGAATCCGCTAGGACCCCCACAGAGGCAAGCTCTGATTGGGGAATCAGAAACAAGCTCATTTTGCCAGCGACGGTGGGGAGGGGGGCGGGCGGCATATTGCCTGCTGTTTGCAGGCCCGCCATCCGTGTCAACAAAAACAACTGCACAACGATCGTCGGCGCACACCTGCACTTAACGAGCCCGCCGTCACTTCGAATTGGCTTTTGAGAGGGTCGGTGCAAGGGTCGACATATTGCTCAATGTGGCGTACCTGGAGCGCGTGGGCAGCTGGCATGTGCCGCGCACCCAACGGGCTTCGCGCACCTGGCTGGCGTGTGCATGGGTTCCGGATGGTTGTCGATGGCGGCCTCTGTCCATGCTGAGATTCGGGTGCTGCTTCTGCGTTGGGCGGGTGGAGACGAGCGAGACGGCTTTTTGCTTGTGGGTAGCTTGGCCCTTCACCCTCCCCCCTCCCGCTGGACCTGGACGGGTGGGGGGGGCGCGACCCATTGGAGCGTCCAGGATGGCCTCGGCGAGAAGGTTAACATCATTGACTTTCCCACGGTCTTTGGCTAATTTTGGCCTCTTGGGGGGGGGCTAATTAAGGGCACCCTTTTTTGGATCGAACTCCTCCAAGATGGCCCCACGATGGCCCCCCAAGGTTCCCCAAAGTGCCTCAAGAGGGCCCCGAAAGGCACCCAAGAGGCTTCAAGAATCCCCCAAGAGGTCCCCAAGAGGCCCCCGAAAGGTGTCCGTCTCATTGTTTTTCTCGACCTACCCTACCATCATCATCATCCATGACAGCACAACCCCGCACAACAATCAACTTCCTATCACTAGCAATGATGACGATACACATCGTCATCTTCATCATCATCACCCCCCAATGTGCCCCAAGAGGCTCCCCTGCGTCACCCAAGGCGCTCCAAGAGGCCTCCGAAGCCGCCAAGGGGCTCCTCAAGACGCCCCAAGAGAACTCCAATACACGTTCAAAAAGAGACTCCGAGAAGCATCCAAAATGCCTCAGGCCTTTCTGCTGGCCCTCCTCCTCCTCCTCCTCCTCCTCCTCCTCTTCCTCCTTCTCTTCCTCATCCCCTATTCATCCTCCTACCTCCTCCCCCCTTCTCCTCTTTAATTCTCCTCCTCCTCCGATTCCTCCTCCGTCCTCCTCTTCATGGGGTATGACGGCTTCCCCAACCCCTTCCACTGCATGCTCATCCACATCCCTCGAGAGGACAACTCGCCTGGGCATCGTTTTGGACCGGCTAGTGGGGTTACGCGAAGCGTTTATAATATTTGCAACAATTTCTAGGATGGAGGGCGGGTGGTTTTCAAACTCTCGCCTTAGCGCCGCGCACATCTGTCTTAAAACTTTATTCACGGGTGGTTGTGGATGGTTTTCAACGTGTTGCTCTGGCATTGGCGCCACTTTTTTGTTGTTGTTGTTGTTTTTGTTTTTTGTTTTTCTCTCAAAACTGCATCCGTTTCGAGGAAGCGTATGGTTGAAGTCTCAAGAACGGTGTTCTTGGTCGGTTTCGAATTGTCAGGACGCAACAGTCATGTTGTTTCGCGTTGTTGATGTCCCAAGAATGGGGATGTGGCACGGCGTAAGACTCTTGAACGGCTGCCTTCCAATGTCCTTCCGCAAAGAAAATCATGTCGGTGGGAACCTCTGAAGAGGGCTTGGAGAGGGGGTCCTTGCTACATCGTTGATGCGTCCTGGGTTTGCGCTTGTCTTCCTTCCCCTCCTCGTTCTCCTCCTCTCCTCCTCCCCCTTCGCCCCGCGCTCGCCAGGCTGCCAGCCAGCTTCCACGCGCGCATTTGCGCGGGTCCCCGGCCGCGGTCTGCGCGAGGGGGGCGCGCCCCACAGCCCCGGCCCACTGGCCGCTCCCCCCCCCTCTACGTGCGTGCGACGACCGAGGCCGGCGGCGCTGGCATCTCCCGAGAGGGGGGCCGCCGGGGGGGCCGACGGCCGCTGTGGGGCTGTCGAGGGCCGCCGCGGGCCGCCACAGGCAGCCCGACGGTCGCTGTTCGGGTGCAGCCGGAGGCCAGAGAGGGCCGTGGAGCCCAGGGCCCCCGACGTCGTGATTTTTGTCGCAGCATGCCCCCCCCCTGCAGGCCTGGACCCCCCGCTTCGCCCCCGACATCCTTCGACGGCCCCGAGGGCCACGGGGAGGGCCCCTTATCCAGGAGCCCCCTGCCCGGAGGACAGGGCCTTTTTCGCCAGGGCTCGAGGCCCGTGGACGCCGGGGGGAGAGGAGGAGGCTGGGCGGCGCGGCGTGGAGGAGGAAGGAGAGGGAAGCCGCGGGCGCTGCTTCCCTCGAGGCGGCCAGAAACGATCAATAACCTTCCCGCGTGAACTCTTCGCTGCGCGACGGGGTCCGGCGCCCGGGGCCGCAGGAGGGGCCTCCCGTGGCGGGCAGGGGCCGCCGGGGGGCGCTGGGCGCGCGTCCGTCCTCGTCGAAGCAGAGCGCCGCGTCGCAGGTGGCGCACGTGGAGACCCCGCGGCCCTGCGGGAGCGGCGCGGGTGGTGACCGCAGTGGCCTCTTGACAGCGTCTGCTCCTCCTCCTCCTCCTCCTCCTCCTCCTCTTCCTCACCCGCTCCCTCCTCCTTCTTCTTCTTCTTCTTCTCTTTCTTCTCCTCCTCCTCCTCCTCCTCCTCCTCCTGCTCCGTCTCCTCCTCCTCCTCCTCCTCCTGTTCCCGTCCTTCTTTCCCCTCCTCATCCTCCTCCTCCTCCTCCTGCTGCTCCTCCTCCTCTTGCCCCCTCTGTCCTCCCTCCTCCTCCGCCTCCTACTCGTCCCTCCTTCGGTTCGGAGGGCTTGCTCTTCACCGCCCTCTGCCCTGACCACCGCAAGCAATGGTGGCACCCAGCAGAACGGCGGCAAAACCATTGTGCTGGCACCAACTCCCCCGCTTCCTCCGTCTTCTCCTCCCATCTCCGCCTCCTCTCTCCTCCCCTGATTCCTCCTGCTCCTCCTCACCCGCTTCCTCATCCTCATCCTCCTCTTCCTCCTCCTCCTCCTCTTCCTCCTCCTCCTCCTCCTTCCTCCTTCTTGTTCTCCTTCTCCTCCTCCCCTGCTCCTTCTCGCCGTCATCGCCCTAATCCTCCTCAGTCGCTTCCTCCTCCTTCTCCTTCTTCTTCTTCTTCTTCCTCCTATCCTTGGTATGTTTGTCCTTCTCGGCTAAACCCGAGAGAGAGAGAGAGAGAGAGAGAGAGACAGAGAGAGAGAGAGAGAGAGCGCGCTAAGACGGTTTGAACGGACCGGCCCTACAAGGGCAGCGCGGGGGCGCCGGAGCCCTCAGGAGACGAGCGGCTGGAGGTCGGCGAGTAGACAGAGCGCAGGAATCGGAAAGATAGGCGCAAGAATCGGAAGGTAGAACAGAGGTGCCGGAAAGGAGTCGGAAAGATAGTCGCAGGAGTCGGATGGACACGGGTGTCGGAACCGCGTGGCTAAGTCGGAGTGAACAGTCGAATCTTGCATAGTAAGGCGACCCTGCCAGAACCACCCAGTCTTCGGTGGGTGGTAATGATCTTCGTTGGGTGGTAATTAGCGGCGCAAGTCCTGATAGGGCGCTCGCTCTGGACGGTGCGTGCTCTGCTTCTCACATCACCTCTGTTAATCCTTATCTCTACCACTTCCCCCCAAGCCACGATGCGCTCCCAGCAGAAGTCCACCGAGGATTGACCTCTTTCTGCCTCTGCTGCACTGGATGCGCACGCTAAAGATCCAGAGTCTACCTTTCAGGAAGTCTTGCCATCGACCCTCGGGGATCGAGGCAGGAGATGTTTGGACGTTTCCGCCCCATCTTGAGCGCCCGCAGGCCTCGTCATGCAGACATGACTCAGCACATACGCGCGCGCAGGGGACGCGCCTCCAACACGCACGCTATGATTGTGGCAGGTCGGCAGGGTCGAGGGTCATCTGCTGGGCAGGCCAAGGCCTGTACAGGAATGAACCACTCTCCTCAGCATGACGCACGAGTAGAGGCTCCCTAGATGGGATTCGAGTAGATGGGGTCGGAGGACGTCACCGCATCGCCGATACGTCGGCGATGCCTCGCCGATGCATCGGCGATGCATCGGCCATGCACTGGCGACGTCGACGATGCATCGGCGACGTCGGCGTGGAGAAAATCGGGCCCCACATCGAGCCGCATCGCTGACGCATCGCCGATGCATGGGCGATGCGGCGCGATCTCCTCCGACCCCCCCTCGAGGAGGCCCAGAATGAGGCCAGGGGAAGGGAGCGAGGCCTGCACCGCCAAATGCACGGCGTTGAGACGTCGTCGTCGGGGGGCAACCCCCTGTCCGACCCCCCAGTTTGTTGGGGAAGGGGGAAGAAAAATACCTGGAACAGCAGGGAACCAGGCTTGGAGCAGGGCCGAACTATTGCTCTGCTTCTCGCAGGCAGCTCCACAGCCTTGCTGTCTGAGGCGCTCCGACTTGAAATCTGGGGGGCCCCAGGAGGTCCGAAATGTATCGGACGAGACAAAACATCATATCTGGGTTATGCAGGTAGCTTCCGACTGCCTGCCAGAACGGACTGGGGCCGTGATATGGAATCTCCAACCCGCCCCAGCCTTCCTCCTACACTCCTCCTCTACCCACGCACAGGAAACTGCTCAGCCCTCTCAACCACGGCCTAGCCGAACTGGCGGCACACCACTCAGATGTCGGTCCGGCGCCGGGGCCGAAGAAAGAGACCAACCTGGCACTCAATTTGACTACCGCTCCTGGCCTGGAGGAGAGGGAGAGCTTCGAGCATGAAGAATGAAGGAGATACGGAAGCGGAGGGGCAGGGCGAAAGAGGGGAATCACAGGCTGAATCTCCCATTGCCCGCTCAACCTGTAACGCCCCTGGGGCGCCTTGGGCAGGGCTGATGTGAAGTGTGCCGCGTCGGTCGCTGCGTGGCCAGACGCAACAAGCAGAGAAGCAGCGGCAACGCTGCTCCGCGTTGCTCCGCGCTTCCCCTGTGAGCCTCCCGTCCGTCTGGTCGGGGAGCCTCTGGGCACCCAGGGCCCATTGGCAGCACGGCAGGAGTGCGAGAGACGGCTGAGCACGGGCGGAAGGCTGCATGCGGGTGTGCTGCCACACCGGCTCTGGCAGTCGGTCCGTGCCACTGGCGGGGCAGAGCGCAGAGTCTGGAAAGCATCATGTGGGTGCGTTGCGCCTCTGCGCGCGCATTCTGTGAGGTGCGAGGGGCGGGGTCCACCCCTCCTCCTCCAATGCGCGCAACGCCCGAGGCAACAACACGCGGACACAACCCCATACAACACCCGAAACAAATCCCCCTCCACCTGGATCCAGGATGGAGGATCATGGAGGAAAAACGGGGAGAAATGAAGAGGCCGAAACATGACCATCAAAGTACCGTGATGAGGCAGACTCAAACTCACTCATACTTGCTGCTGCGCTGCGTGCCCAGGCGCACGCCGTTGGGTAGACTTCTCCTCGTCCTCCTCCACCTCCTTGTGCTCCTCCTCTTCCTTCTCGTCGTCATCGTCCTCGCGTTCCTCCTCCTCCTCCGACGTCTTTGCGCCGAGGGCGAACGTCCATCGCTTGTTTTGTTGACGGCCTCTGGAGCCTCATGTCTTTGCGAACGCCCATCATTCCCTTGGTGCCGCCTGGAGCTGTGGATGTTTTTCCTATGTCTCTTACCTCGGCTTCGTGTGCCTGAGGTGAGGATGGGCCCGCTGTGAGGGCGTCTTGGACGGTGGCAATATGTTCAATGCTTCGTTCCCCCGGCTGTAGCTCGACTGTCGGACACTTCCGCGGATATCTGACCGACTGACCTCCTCCGCTGGATGCTCCTTCTTCTTCTTCTTCTTCTTCTTTTTCTTCTTCTTCTTCTTTTTCCTTCTCCTCCTCCTCCTGCTCCTCCTCCCCATCATCCTTCTCGTCGCTATCGTCCTATTCCTCACTCTCTTCCCTGTCCTCCTTCGCCTCCCTCTGCTGATGCCGTTCCTCCTCCTCCTCCTCCTCCTCCGACTTCTCCTCCTCCTTGCGCTTCTCCTCTTGCTCCGATCCTTCCTCCTCCTCCTCTTCCTTCCTCTTTCCCCTGGGTTTTGGGAAGTCCGACCGCTCATACGCCAAACAAGCTGGTAGGTCGATCCGCCCTTTAATGTACCCCCCGCCTCCCTGTGGTACACCGTACGTCCAGGGACTGTTTGTGTAGATACAGTTTCAAGCAATGTGTGCGGGGTCTTCTGGAGCTCTCTTGGACCCTCTCTTGAGCCCCCTGGCGCGGCGTGGGCCAGCAACTTGCTGCACGCCAACACATGCTGAACACATGAGGAGAGCATGTTCACCCACGGAAAAGTCCCCCCTCCCCTCCTCCTCCTCCTCCTCCTCTTCTTCTTCCTCCTCCTCCTCCACCTCCTCCTCCCCCCGTCTGGGGCAAGCTCAGCGGAGGCTGGTCTGTGCCAAGTCATCAAGCCCGACAAAAATGGAAGACGGGGTCGGGTGGGCTCTCCTCCCCCGTTCGGCCAGAACGCCCTAAACCATTTAGGATCCTCCCTGAAACATCCTACCCCTCAAACCTTCCAAAGCCCTCCTCGTCCATCCTCCCCGTGCTCGTCCTGGCCTTCAGCTCGCCAAGAAAACAGAACTTCCACATCCACGAAAGCAAAACATATTGGTGTGCCTTGAAGCGGTCCTTGTACTACTTCTTCGTCGTCGTCGTCCTCCTCCTCCTCCTCATCCTCCTCCTCGCTGCTACTTCACCTGCCCTTCCTCCATCATCGTCCTCGTCCTCGTCCTCGTCCTCGTCCCCATCGTCGTCGTCGTCGCCGTCGTCGCCGCCGTCGTCGTCGTCGTCGTCGTCGTCGTCTTTCTCCTCCTCCTCCTCGTCCTCCTCGTCCTCCTCCTCGTCCTCGTCCTCCTCGTCCTCCTCCTCCTCCTCCTCCTCCTCCTCCTCCTCCTCCTCCTCCTCCTCCTCCTCCGCGCGCGCACGTGGAACATTTTGGGGATGAGGGAGGACGTGGAGCAGCAGCCGGATGCTGACGAGGAAGATTCTTTGCCGCTGCACCACTCTGCCAGCCCTCCCGCGCACTGAATTTTACGATAACAACGGGCTCCACGCACACGCGCACCGTAAACGGGACGAGGCACGCGGAGCAGAAGCCGCCACTGACCGAACAGGGAAGGTGAGCCCTCGTGGCAACGACGACGCGTACACCACCAGGCAACCCTCGAGGAGGGCACTTCACATCACGATACCCGCCTTGTTTTTGATTGCATTCGGCATTCGGGCCAGGCGGGGCGATCGTGCCGGAATCCACCTGCACGTGTGAAGACACGGAAGTGATCACCATGCCCCGCTCGCCGCGCAGGCCTTCCCACACATGCTGCCGACGCTGTCGAAAGAGACGGGGAGGCGGCGAAATTGAAGTCGCTGCCAGGGCCGCCCAGCTCGACTGCGCCTGAAATCCCGATTCTTCGAACTCGTCGCGGACGTCCTCAGCCTCGGACTGTACCTCAACCGCGCCCTGGCTGCCAACACCCGCTGGCACTGCCGCGGCCGCCCCGCGAAAAGCCTCGGCGTCGAGGCGCGCTCGGCGACGGACGAATGGCTGCGGGCTCCTCCGCGCCTGCTTTGCGGAAGCGAGCAACTGTTGGTGCATCACTTCCAGCGGCACGGAGCGCTCCACGTCGGCGCGGAGTCACACAGCATTAACGCTGAGGTCCCCGCCGCGCTGCTGCTGGGCCTGCGCGAAGGACGAGACGACGGTGGCACCGCACGTGCACGCGATGCCCATGTGGAGCTCCGACGGGCTTGCGCTGGACCTCCCAACTGTCGCCGCCTCCGCCGTCGGCACAGTGTGAGCTCTGGCCCGCCGCCCTTGCGGGCCTGCCTTGCGCTGGATGGGGTTGGGTTCTGTGTCGGCCAGGGTGTCGGCCGACACGTCGAAGCTGTGCGTGGCACGTCGACGATGCGAGCCTTCTTCCCAGACAGCCACGCCATCAAGACTGGGGCGATCAGAGCGAAACGATTGGTCTGCTCCTTGACGGCGCACAGGGCGACCTGCAAAACAAGCATGCGGTCTTCAAGCTCCTAGTTTTCCCCTAAAGCTGGGCCCCGAACTTCCAACACATGTTGTCAACAGCTTCAGCAACCCGCGCGCGCCGCTGCCGCCTGCTCACGGAACGGCAGCTCTCGACCTCTTTCCACATACCAGGGGCGAGTCCTGTAGCCAACGGCAGCAACGCATCCCCAGCAACATCAGGCTGGGCGGACATGGTGGACGTTCGGCTTGAGCATCAATGGTTTGCCCACTGCGGGCTCTTGAGCCAACATGGCTACGGATGACGAGGAGGAGGAGGAGGAGGAGGAGGAAGAGGAATAACAGGAGGATGACCAGTGTAAACTCAAGACCCATCAACGATGTTGCAATCAACCCTCCCTCCAAGCTCCCTCCCTGTAGGCCTCTTCGAAGGAACCATTTTCGCTGAAGGAACTGCCCAGTCGAGAAAAACTGTTAAGATATCTTGAACTGTGCCAGAACACCATTCCTGGGACTTCAGCGCCGCGAGATACTGTTACTGTTGCGTCTTGACGATCCAGAATCGTGCCAGAACGCTGTTCCTGAGACTTCAACACCAAGAATCAACGTAACTGTTGCGCGCTGGCAATCGGACATTTGGCCAACGTACCATGTCTGGGCAGTTAGCCATGGGAATCCTTGGCGCTGTTGTGAACTCTTAAAAATGAATGTGCACGGCGCGCTCAAGCGAGACCCACAGTTTGAACAAAGAACCGCCCTCCATCCATGGTGCTCTTAGAATTTTGTATGCCGAATGTGCGCGGCGCTAAGACGAGAGCCACACTTTGAACACGACCAGCCCTCCATCTGTCAAACTCTTGCGGCGGCGCTGAGGAGAATCACATTTTGAAAACGACCTGTCCTCAATCCGTGAAGCTCTTGCAAATGTGAAACATCATGATAATGCATGGTGAGGGAGTCCCAAGCGGAACGCCCAGTCGCCCTTCCGACTGGCCTTGGGGTGCGGCAGGGGGTCATACGGACAAGAAGTGGAGGAGAAGGAGGAGGAGTAGGAGAAGGAGGATAATAATGAGGAGGAAGAGGGAACGTCTGGACACTACGGATCTTACGAACACAGCATGATCCAAATCAGTTCAGAAAGGAGGGGGCAGAGAATGCGGAAAAAGTGCGGACGACGACAAAGACGACGACGAGCCGCTCCTTCACCTGCTCCTCGCCCTCGACGCCGAGCCACTTCGCGGAGGCGCCCGTTGAGATGACCAGCGCGTCGGTCTCCCCTCGGCCCTTTGCTGCTCCTCTGCTCTCTGCCCTTGTGCTTCGACTGGGGTAGGAGGAGGACAAGGGGACTGTGATGATGATGCTGATGTTTATGATGCTGATTGTGATTATGATGATAGTGATGCTGATGATGGTGGTGCTGCTGTTGAGGTTGATGGCGGTGATGATGACGGTGGCGACGATAATGGTGATGCTGCGGTTGTTGATGATGTTAATGCTGCTGGTGATGATGATGGTGATTGTTCGCGCTCGTAGCATCATCGTCACCATCATCATTAATGTTACCATCATCGCTACTACCATTACTTTTCGTATACGGATGCTCAGTACTTGTCTCGTTACGATGGGTATTCGTATTACTACTATTCGTAAACTTACCGATATGGGAGTACCCGTAGCAACACTCGTACTTATAGCAATAACACGACTAATAATCGTTATTGATATCGTTCCAATGTGTATTTTGTTATTGCTGTTATGGGGGTATTGAACTATCAGTACCGAATCATTACTGTTGATCCCCCTCTGGTGATTTTCGTGTTTTCAATAGGTGCTCCCCCGGTTTTATCAGGGAAGGTTACGGGCCTGAAACTGGGCCCATGGCTCCCGGATTACAACAAAAACGGTTCCCGCCTGAGACCTCCTCGCGATGTACCCAAGACCCCCCCTCCC